GATTTGTATTTACTCTGGGAATCACCAACAGATTGGTGTCAGAAGATCTTAGTGATCTTGAAGGCTTATGTAGTGGAAGCATATCAGTGATATACTTTGGCCCTAAACCATGTAGTGATTTATATGTGAGCAGTAGGATTTTGAAATTAATTCTCTGACATACTGGGAGCCAATGTAAGGATTTAAGAATTGGTGTAATGTGCTCACATTTTTTGGTCTTTGTTAGAACTCTAGCAGCAGCGTTCTGAACAAGCTGGAGCTGCCTGACCGTTTTTTTTGGGAGACCTGCAAGGAGACTATTACAATAGTCTAGCCTACTAGTTATAAAGGCATGTACAAGTGTTTCTAAGTCTTGAGCTGACATGAGCCCTACTGTGACAAGTATGTAACTTGTAAGTTTCCAGCGAGCAATTTATCCGTTGAAACAACGTTTAAAAGACGTCTATGGCCCGACGTTGAAAAGACGTCTATGGCCCGACGTTGAAAAGACGTCTATGGCCGGACGTTTAAAAGACGTCTATGGCCCGACGTTGAAAAGAGGTTGCAAATTGGTTCAAAAGTGAAAGTTGTTTCAACGTCTATTCGTAGACGTTGAAAAGACGTTTACGTTTAGACCACATTTCAACCAGCGAGCATTTCAACGTTGAAAAGACGTTTAAAAGACGTCTATGGCCCGACGTTGAAAAGACGTTGCAAAATGGTTTAAAAGTGAAAGTTGTTTCAACGTCTATTCGTAGACGTTGAAAAGACGTTCGCGTATAGACCCGTTTTCAACGTGATTTATAATATCGGTGGTAAACTTACAAATGTGGACGTAGTTTCTTTTTAAACCTCTAAAATAATGATATAGCACACAAGAGAGGACGAAATATTACCGTATTAAAAAATCACGTTGAAATGTGATCTAAACATAGACGTCTTTTCAACGTCTACGAATAGACGTTGAAACAACTTTCGCTCTTGACCTCGCTGCGCATCTTGGAAGCGTGGCTCCCCGTTACCTATGCATCACTACCCTGGCCAATTCCACCTGTGCCCCCATATGTAGACTCTGTCACACTGCCACCCGTGGCAAACCTGAGATTGGCTCCCAACACCACCCAGTGAGCATTTTTTGGTTGAAAAGACGTTTAAAAGACGTCTATGCCCGACGTTGAAAAGACGTTGCAAAATGGTTTAAAAGTGAAAGTTGTTTCAACGTCTATTCGTAGACGTTGAAAAGACGTCTATGTTTAGACCACATTTCAACGTGATTTTTTAATACGGTAATATTTCGTCCTCTCTTGTGTGCTATATCATTATTTTAGATGTTTAAAAAGAAACTACGTCCACATTTGTAAGTTTACCACCGATATTATAAATCACGTTGAAAACGGGTCTATACGCGAACGTCTTTTCAACGTCTACGAATAGACGTTGAAACAACTTTCACTTTTAAACCATTTTGCAACGTCTTTTCAACGTCGGGCCATAGACGTCTTTTAAACGTCTTTTCAACGTTGAAATGCTCGCTGGTTGAAATGTGGTCTAAACGTAAACGTCTTTTCAACGTCTATGAATAGACGTTGAAACAACTTTCACTTTTGAACCAATTTGCAACGTCTTTTCAACGTCGGGCCATAGACGTCTTTTAAACGTTGTTTCAACGGATAAATTGCTCGCTGGAAACGTACAAGTTACATACTTAGTCACAGTTGTCATGTTAACAGCCCTTAACAAGGACAAACACATTATTTTATTCATTTGCATTTATTATAAATATAACACTATACATATAACACTTTTCCTAATTAAAAATACAAAAATAAAATATATATTTCAGGGAAATTAACTATGGATTTAAAAGTGCAGAAACAACATTTCTGTGTTCAACAACAACAATTCTGTGTTTGTAGACCATTTTTCTGAATCATTTGAACTTCATTTTTAGATTCTGTAACAAGATGTGGCTGTGAGTCACTTGAGTTGGGATAGTATACCTGAAATCAGCTGCATCTCCCTCATCCTCACTTGAGGATTCTTTGTGTAAAGGGAGTCAGAGTGCAGAGAACAGCCCTCAATTGCAGATTTCTCTGGTCAACGTGTTTATTCAATTCAAATCATTTTATTTTGTTCAGCTTTGCAATCTGTAAACATGCAACATCCTGTCCTAAAACCCCCAAAATGTAAAAAACCTTCAACCAGGAGAAACCTGAGGAGAAAACAGCAAGGCAGTAGGTGTGTAGAGTATGAACAATTTAAAGATGTACAGTACATCCAATTCCTACGACAGAAATGATTCTAATATTGTGGATTATTAAGCCAGGGGTAAGGCAGGACCAGTGCAGGGACAACCATCATCAGACGTAACATCAGATGCAACCACCACCCGCAGAAACCTGTGAGGAGGGAAAGCACAAAGGCAAAGTTGGTCATTTGGGTTTATGATGACAGTAATAAACTAGTAATAATAACAGCAGCAGGTGTGTTAGAATCCTAATTTATAGATTGTTCACTTATTACATTATCAACAAGATAACAATTCATCTGCAACTTATGGTATTTCTGGAGTAACATTTCCAGGTATATTACACAGTATCATGCTTTAAGCAGCAGTAACTTACAATGTGTTGTCCCTCTTGTTTACAGACCACAACTTGTTGAATTCAGCCCTTCACCCTTGCAATCTGTATTTAGCCCCCATTGCTTTAAAAACGTATTTTCAATGTGAAATGCAATACCATTTATGGGTACAGCAACAACCTAACGCATTAGTAACACCAAACACACGAAAAATATTCTGGGATGTTTACTTTTGGTCCAGGTCATCATGCTGCACGCTAGCATGCTAACTAGCAAACTACCTGCGCTAACGCTAACTAGCTTAACAAAAAGGGCCGTCTTTCCCGTATCGAGTCGGCAGCACAAGTAAAACACCCGGTTATAGTTCCAGGTGTGCTTCATCCAAACACTCGCGTACTTACAGAGTAGTGGAGCCGGTAGTCGTGGTTCTATCAGCCCGTTCATGTCGCTCTGCTGCCGTAACTTCGCCTCGTCCGCTCGGAGCTCTGCAGGCGTCTAAGAACTCGCGCATGCGCGTTACAGATGTGAGCGGAGTTACGTGTTTACAAGTAATGTTTGAACCTGCCCGCATTATTATGTCTTAAACGCATCTTATTAACAGCACGCAGTCCGTAGTTTCATATTTATAACGTTTTAAGTGAAATATTAAATACGTTGAAATTACGTCTTCGCGTAGACCAAATTTCGCCGACCAGTTCATTAATTATTATGAAAATCTTAACGTTAATATCGTCTATCTTTCAACCTTACGTTACATCATGACACATTTGTCAACAAATTGATGTTTTCTGGCACGTTGATGTTTTATCCCATTTTTAGCCGGTTGAAAAGACGTTGAAATGAGGTCTTAGACGTTCAGACCTCATTTCAACCCGATTTCAACCATATTTCAACGTTGAAATTACGTCTTGTGCTCACTGGGCAAGTGGCACATAAACATCCTCAATGGCTCCTACACGTACATTTTTGATATTTTAAGAAATTCAAATAAAAATTGTACTCTGGGGGAATGTTTTTGCCTTGGTCTGTTTACACTGGTCATCTGTGGGTCCATGGTTGATTAATAAATATCCCTACGGGACGATAACCGCCCCTCCGTACTTGCCCCTGGTTGAATGTGTGCATGTGAAACATCTTGTACCTCGGTGTCTCCTAGTATCCGGTGGCAGTCAGGCAAAGTGATGTCAACAGCCGTCACAAACTCTTCCTCCTCCAGTGGACCCAGCAGGTTATGAAATGGGGCATCATTCGTTTTCACAAACAAATGACCTGCATGGGAAGAAACAAAGATGGTTAAAAGAGATGTTTAAGTTGTCAGAGCCAATCTTAATCGTAGTTGTGATGCTATACGTACTGTTGTCAGCCTTTTAAGTACAAAGCGGATGAAGCATTGACGGCTGTTTGGAGCGAGTAATTAAAATGAAGATGATGTACTTGATAAGCCTCTTCATCATGATTCTGATTCGGGGATTGCTTGTAGTTGTGTGTGTGTGTTTGTTTTCCAGGTAGGATTGGGACCCGGAGCTCCAACCCCTCGTCAGTGGTCGCAGCTGGCTGGGCTCTTTAAAAAGCCCCGTTTTGGACCAGTTCTCTCTCGCTGCATATGCATGGTCTTTGGTTTGTACCCTGTGTGGGGATATTTTCGATTTCAATAGTTGGTGTTAAATAATCTAACTTGTGTTCCTTTTGGAACGTGTAGCAGCAGGTGGGAGCAATTGTTTGTTAGTGTCCTTTCAACTAATTATTTGTTTCCTCTTTTGTTCACAGGGAGTGGGGAGTAGATTTAGAGCTACCCCAGGGTATACATCACCCGTAGGTTTACTTCTCTGTCTAGAAACACCAGTTTAGACCTGGGCGGACCACCACCTGTACGTTTGGTTAGGGCGCCTTGACCGTGTGCCGGGAAGAGAGTGTATTTTCTATTGGGGGTTAGTACAGGTTAGGGGTGGAGACCTTTTTGTTTATTTCTTTGTTTTGGTCGTCCCTTTTTCCCAGAAAGTTATTGTTTATTTATGTATATTTTACCGTGCTTAGATAAAAGCGTTTATACTGGATTTGGTGTTTGTGTCCGTTTCTCACACCGCGACTCCATACCCCGTTTGCTGGCATCGGTGGGCCTGAGCAGTGGGTTGTCATGTTCTCCTCCCTTTTGGGAGCTGGAACGTAACAAGCACCAATAATATATTTTCATACTCTTCATGTTTAAGGCACATTTCAGAAAGTCTGATTTTGTAAATTCTATCTGGACTTGAAGGAGGTTACAAAGAACACAATACTTTCGGAGGATTAGCCGATTACATAAAGGTGACATCATGACAACAATGACATGGTTTTATGCATTTCAATTTTACATCCACAAACTGGGCAGAGGTTACAGACCTCTGAAAACAAAATCAGGTTTTAAACTGAACTGAAGGAAAAAAGGAAACTGAAAAGCAAAGAGGCTATATGTAGTTTAATCTCATGTTGTAGCACAAAAAAGTAGAGTACAGCACTGTGGTTCAGTTCGGTAGGAGAGCATTTAGGCTTGATTACAGACGCGTGTATTGAGATACTACTTAGTAACAGGATATTACATCATTAACACTAAGGTGGGTTTCCAGCGCTGGGGGACGCATAGTGAAAATAGAAACATCTGCATTGTCTTTGGGGGCTTCTGACAAAGCAGGTTTAGAGCAGACAACAAAGAAAGAGAATCTCTCTCCAATTAGGATTCGTTTCACAATAATGAAGCTTTGATATCTAAAGCTGTGATTTAGTCTTGAACTGTATGTTGAGGATCTACCACAAAACTAAATATTGGATCATAATTAAATAACACTTCCAAGCTGGTGAGCAACCTACTAATCCTGCTTTGAGAGACCGTCTTGTGAAAATCGGGAACAGATACATTCCCTGAAAGGTGGGCGATACGTGTAGCAAAACACTGAGAAATAACTACTCTTGTTTAAAAAGGTCACCATTGTTTACCTTTACATTTCACAATGTGTTCTCCTAATTAGAGGCTGTGTCACACAAACCACGTACGAATGTATTTTTGCTGTGAGCACCATTTTTAAAATGGTGGTAAAGGAGAAAACAGAATATTGATGTGCTTAAGTAATATTACACCCTTATACAAGACTACTTGACAAGTTCCCATCTACACTCAGTTCCACCTCTTTTTGAAGTGTACAGTATGATCCCATAATTTCCATTTGCTTCCCTTGCCATTACAGCCAGTCACCACCAAAAAACAGAAAACAAATAAACTGGCTACAAATCCTTTCTTTGAATAAAATTGCATTCTCTTCATATGGATACAAATGTTAACAATCCCCAGAGATAGTTTATGACGGTCCGAGTGCTAGAGAATTAACATCTTATGCACGGCACCAAAGTTTGTTACACAGTCTAAACTTGTGCATTGGGAAAACACTCTTCAGTGCAAACCACAGGACTCCATTATCACCACCAAAGCGTGTTTGTCAGAGGCAACAGTAAAATCCAGAGCGGATAAAGAAGGGGTCATAAAGATCTAATGATTTCACAGACTATCTTCAAGAGAAATGAGTGACACGTGGCTCAGTTGTTGGCTGCGTCCGCCTGCCGGGGCCAGTTCTCCTCCTCAATGCCTGAGTCATACTCCTCCTCTGCGGGCTCCTTGGCTGGCGCTCTGCAATTCAAAAGGAAACTCCATGTCAGCCAAACACGACATTGGAGTCTGGTGTGCTCGGCTTATGGAATCTGATCACTAACATTACACAATTGTAGCCCCGCCCAGTGAGCGGAGAGATACTAACCTGACGTAGGTTGGTTGGGATTTTCCTAGGACAATTTCTTTGTTCAGCTCAACAGCCATGATGTCAGAGTGTGGCACCTCAAACATGGGCTCAAGAAGCAGCTTTTCCTATAAAATGAGGACATGATTAATTACTGCACTACATCAAAATAACAATGCTTGTGTGATAACCGGAGCACAGACTACATACCAAGATGGATCTGAGCCCACGAGCGCCGGTTTTTCTCTCCAGAGCCATCCTGGCTATGGCCCTCAGGGCATCTGGAGTCACGTTGAGTTCACACTGAGACCAAAACAGAGCATATTCAATTAAACTTTATCCAGTGTTTCATTTTAACTGGAAGGTTGTGTCAGCTCTGTTCTTGTGGGTCTTCTACAAGAAAAGTGTGTTGCCAGTGAGACCATAAACTACATACGCGTGTATGTGTGTTGTTTTGACATTACACAGTAATCTACAAAGAATGTGCCCTTGCGAGCATTCGACTGATCAAGATGGCGCCGTTGAAGGCTGCCACGGTGCTTCGGTGCGCTTCGTTTTTTGTTGTTTTTGTTGTTAATCATGTTTCCTGCTGCGATTCCCAGAGCTCTTTCACCAGAGATGAGCTCTTGAACATCCGAGGAACAACTCCAGCGGAGTTACTTCCAACTTCTCTTCTATCTTTTGTGGAATTACTGGACATTCTAGTCAAAGGTGCGCTCATCTTTCGTCACTCGGTGAGACGCCGTAGGTGAGGAAAACGAGCCGGCTCGCTAGTGAGACTCCGCTAGCGTAGTTCTCGCATTCCGCTGCCAGGCATCTTTCTCTCCAACGTGCGCTCACTGTGCAACAATCTGGACGAAATTCAGCTGCTGGTGAGGAGAGACAGAGACTTTTCTACATCGTCCATTTTGTGCTTCACAGAGACGTGGCTCTGCGGATCTTCTCCAACACCAGCTGGTGCAACGACGTAACGGTGATCCTACAACACTGTTCTCCTGATCTGGAAACTTTCTTCATCAACTGCAAACCCTTTCATTCCCCCCGTGAGTTCGCTTCATTCATCCTGGTCGGTGTTTACATGCCGCCGGCGGGCAACGTGCACGAGGCACAGCGGACACTCGCCGACCAGATACGGCGTGTGGAGCGGACCAACCCGGAAGTTATTGTCCTCGGGGACTTTAACAAAGGAAATCTCACCCATGAACTTCCTAAATACAGACAGTTTATTAAATGCCCCACCAGAGAGGAGAACACGCTGGATCACTGTTACACCACAGTAAGCAGGGCTTATCACGCCGTCCCTCGTGCTGCACTGGGACACTCTGACCACGTCATGGTCCATCTGATTCCTGCATACAGGCATAAACTAAAGCTCTGCAAACCTGTGGTGAGGGTATTCAAGAAGTGGACCAGTGAGGCGCTGGAGGATCTTCGGGCGTGCTTTGACTGCACAGTCTGGGGTGTTTTCAGGACTGCTACTGACAGTCTGCATGAGTTCACAGAGGCTGTAACTTCCTACATCGGCTTCTGTGAGGACAGCTGTGTACCATCATGCACCAGGGCGAGTTACAACAACGACAAACCCTGGTTCACAGCGGAACTCAGAACACTACGCCTGCAGAAGGATCAGGCATTTAGGAGTGGGGACAAAGACTTGTACACAGAGTCAAAATACAAGTTTAGCAAGGCGGTGAGAGATGCTAAACGACTGTACTCTGAGAAACTCCAACAACAGTTCTCAGCAAGTGACTCTGCTTCAGTTTGGAGAGGCCTCAAACACCACACTAACTACAAGCCAAAAACCCCCCACTCCATGAATGACCTCCGCCTGGCAGACGAGCTGAATGAGTTCTACTGCAGAATTGATGGACAATGTCCTGATTCCATCCCCCACAGCTCCACAAACATGCAGTTCGCCTACAGAGCCAACAGGTCTGTGGACGATGCTGTCAACATGGCCCTCCACTACATCCGCCAGCATCTGGACTCCCCAGGAATCTACGCCAGGATCCTGTTTGTGGACTTCAGCTCTGCCTTCAACACCATCATCCCGTCTCTGCTGCAGGACAAACTCTCCCAGCTGCACCTGCAAGTGGATCACAGACTTCCTGTCTGACAGGAAGCAGCACGTGAAGCTGGGGAAACATGTCTCAGCCTCTCGGACCATCAGCACCGGTTCCCCCCAAGGTTGCGTTCTTTCCCCTCTGCTCGTCTCCCTGTACACCAACAGCTACACCTCCAGCCACCAGTCCGTCAAGCTCCTGAAGTTTGCGGATGACACCACCCTCATTGGACTGATCTCTGGTGGGGATGAGTCCGCCTACAGGTGGGAGTCTGACCATCTGGTGTCGAGCAGAACATCAGCTCCATCACAAAGAAGGCTCAGCAGAGGTTGTTCTTGTTCTTCCTGAGGCAGCTGAAGAAATTCAACCTGCCAAAGACGATGATGGTCCACTTCTACACGGCTACCATGGAGTCCATTCTCTGCTCCTCCATCACCGTCTGGTACGCTGCAGCCACAGCCAAGGACAAGGGCAGGCTGCAGCGTGTCATCCGCTCTGCAGAGAGGGTGATCGGCTTTAATGTGCCGTCCCTGCAGGAATTGTTCGCTTCCAGGTCTCTGAAGCGAGCTAAAAAGATCGTAGCCGGCCCCTCCCACCCCGGACAAAAACTGTTGTGCCCCTTCCATCTGGCAGGAGGCTGAGGTCCATCAAGCCACACGAACAGTTTCTTCTCGTCGGCAGTCGGGCTCATCAACAGAGCCGGTCCCCCACTGACTGACTATAACATTCCACCGGAAAACTTTAACTTTATTCTCTTGTTTTATACTAACCCATAGCCTTATTCTACTAACCCATTGCATTAGCATTTCATTTTACTTTATTTTATTACTTGTGCACTGCTGTCTTGATGTTGTCTATTGTTACACTGTCTACTGTCACTCGCCAACCGCCAAGACAAATTCCTTGTATGTATGACATATTTTGGGAATAAATGTTTTCTGATTCCTGATTCCTGACTACATGAGCCTGCGTTGTTGCAACAGCTGAGCCTGAGCCCACCCCTGCTGAGCAGTGAGGTGTGGGGGAGAAGCTTTCGCCTGTCTGAGCGCAGCTTAACTTGGCACTATAGCACCCACTAGGTGCGCATCCTCACTTTGTCCATGCTGAACAGAGCCTGGTACTGGGGCACCACGGCGTTGCGTGGCTCGGTCAGAATTCTGACAAGAGTCTCTTCGTCCAGGCTGTGCAGAGGCACGACCACAGGAAGGCGGCCCACGAACTCTGGGATCATTCCGAACTCGATCAGGTCCCTGGCCTCGACGATCTTCAGCAGATGGTCCTTCTCCTCGATCTCAGCCACCGTGTCCGTCTCGCCGCTGCTGTTGGCCAAGTCGGCGGCCGCCGCCGCGCGCCGCCCCGTCCCCATGTTGGAGGGAGTTCCAAAACCCAAATACTGAAGAGTCATGAAACAAAAAGAACACATTAGAGGCAGGGGAGAAGATGAATACAACTGCTGGTAGTCGAGAGAAGTTCAATTTACCTTTTCATTCTTTCTTCTGCTGATGATTCTGTCGAGGCCGTTGAAAGCACCGGAAGCAACAAACAAAATATTTGTTGTGTCCACCTGCACCGTCTCGCCTCTTAGCTTCCTGGAGTTTTTCTCAGGAACATTGACTATTGTGCCCTCCAAGAGTTTAAGCAACCCCTGAAAGAGAGGAAAAGGTCAAATAAATGTTAGTAACTCAAGTTGAGGTCCACCAATATTGGACTAGTAGTAAATAAGTCAAATCTGCTGCTGTACGTCTTAATTCAAACTGACATTTTATTCTTAGATATCTATAAACAAACCACATCAAAGCTGTATATAGTGCAACTTGTGTTAAAGCGCTTTGAGTGGTTGGAAGACTAGAAAAGCGCTATACAAGTACAGTCCATTTACCATTACCATTTAACTCGGGATGAATACTGACCTGCTGGACTCCCTCTCCTCCTACGTCTCTCAGCTGATGGATTCCAGGCACACTGCCAATCTTATCAACCTCATCCAGAAACACAATTCCTGCATGTGTAATAAAAGGACAGAGCTATGACGGTTTCACTTCTCACAACAAGACTACATTGATTATTACACAAAATGAAGTACACATGCTGGAAGTTGGCTGATGGAGGACAGAAGCCTTTTTCTTCCTGTGTCACGATGTTCACACGGACTGAATCAGTTCATGGCGGATCTTTAACTCGTGCGCTCCAAAAGCGAATAACGAGTCGATATGAAGGAAACAACGAGCCTCTCATCTGTCAGAAGCAGGAAACCGTCACAAGCATCGCGCACATTTTTGGTCATTACCTTACAGGAGTCAGCCTTGGTTGCTTTGGAATTAAATCAAATGCGTCAGTTAGCATTAGCATTAGTTTTGGTCATCTCCGGTAGTCTGCGCATGCGTGACGTGACGTCATTTTTTTATCGATGGCATGCAATCGACTGGTACTGCCTTTGAGATCGACTGGTCGATCGCCGTATTGAGCACCCCTGATCTAGACTGACTATGTATTCATATTACACATCCCAAATAAAAAAAAAAGGATCTGCTTAGTCCCTCTGCCCACCTTGTTGTGCTTTTTCCACTGAGTAGTTAGCATCTTGCAGCAGTTTGGCAATAACAGATTCAATGTCTTCCCCCACGTATCCAGCTTGAGTTAGTGTGGTGCAATCGCATATTGCAAAGGGAACATCCAGACAACGGGCCAGTGTCTGCGCCAACAACGTCTTTCCTGTCAACAATTAGAGAAATCACATTAGCATTTTGTCAAGTCCTCATGTACAGATGAACTGCATAATTAGCGATGTAGCTCTTAACAATTAGTGCCACCGTGCAACACTAACCAGAGCCAGTGGGACCAAGAAGTATAATGTTGCTCTTCTCCAGTTTAATGTCGGTGTGTGTGGAGTCCAGGACCTCCCCGCCCCTCTTCTCCTGCGGCGCCTGCTGGCCTGCCTGCTGCTGCATGGACGCTCCCAGAGCATTTCCATGAGGACTGATCCCCGCAATCTTCAGCAGCTCTGGAACAACAGGAAAAGTCACAATACGTGTAAATGAGAGAGTAGGAGGTTCTTGAAAAACTACATTTCAACAATCCATCTAAAAGACCGCAATTTTTAGATTTCAACGGCTGTTCACGTTACACCATCCATTTGTTGATGGTGTAACGTGTCTAACTACAGAAAGATTTACTTGTATGGGTTAAAAATATGTGTACTGTAAATGAGATTGCTCTGCTTTGAAAAGGCAAAAACAAATCTCCCGAGGAGCCACGGCTATCTGTACATTTTGGCATTTGTGCAACTCAAGACAATAGACAAAGACAGAAATTGCAGTAATTTTTTTGAGGCCTTTGATTAAAAAACAGCAGTAAGGACAACCAATCACTTACTTGTGAACCTGTACTCATCCTCTCGTCTTCTCATCTCTAGTTCTAATGGAAGAGAAAAGTATTGAAATCAATATTATAATTAATCATTACAATTATGACATTATTACTACAGTCCTGAACAGGCGTGAGATAGTTATTGAACAAATGCCAAATAATACAGATTAAGTTCTAAATAACGGCCACCGCTGCAACCTTTTGTTGGTTATTTGTGTGGATTCTATGAGTGAATTACTTGCTTATGTGACATCTTAATGTAAAATGTGTAGAAAGTAAGAGTTAGTGGCCCAAATGTCACTGCGACAAACTTGAACCAATTGATGTAATTTTCAGCACTTGAACAAAAAGTTCTATTTTGTCTTTACTTCATGAGGAACTTAATGAGAACACATTTGTTCAGGAATCAGGATCAGGAATCATTTATTGCCATACTATGTCAGACATACAGGGAATTTGACGTGGCGGTTGGTGTGTAACAGAAGACAGTACGACAACGAACGACAAGACAACAAGTTTGTAAGTATAACGTAATTCAATAATTAGGTGTAATTTTAAACTGCAGGTACTGGTGCATGTCTGTTTCCCTATTATTGTGTTCTGTCTGTGCTCTCCAGTATGCAATGAAAACAAAAATGTAGAAAAAAGGGATACAGGACAGGAACCTTTTGTCAAAGTCCCTCAATCAACAAAGGACTACATTTCTTTCAAAACTCTCATTTGCTGTTTTAAGCACTTCTGTATTTACCAGCTATCTAGATGAACAGGTGGGAACAGGTGTACAGGTGGGAAATCAACAGCAAATTGATTGATGCAAAGTGGACAGAAAAGACCAAATCAGCATTTACATAATGTACCTAGCAATTGTTTAAAAAGATAATGTTAGAAAGGGCTTTTCTATTTAGAAACTATAGGGGGGCCCACCAATAGCCTGCAGAATGACGTATCTATAGACAACAGTAATACTGACCACGAGGTGTTAGAGAAGGCTGTTGTTCCACCTCTACCTGCTGTCGACTCCCAGCAGGAATGTTGTTGTAGATGCGTTTGTAGTGATTGTACACTGCAACTGCCAACACTTTCTTTGCATAGGACTGGCCAACAACGTACTTGTCAAGGTAAGCATATATCTGGAGAATAAAAACAACAATCCCTATATCAGAAAGGATTGATTAACAAAACAGGACAAGTAACATATCAAGAGTCCTTTAAAAGCATATTTCGACTTCTTCATATTTTGACTTTGTGTCAATTTCTCACCTTCTTAGGAGGAGGGGGAGGTTTCTGTGCAAATGCCAGTTTCACTGCCTCCGCAGCAGATTCTGGCTCTTTGTTTAGTCCCTTTTTAGAGTCCGTCTCAGACAGAACCACAAAAAAGTGATGACATTTCTCACATTTAACAAATCGTGTTGATGCTACAAAAGAAAAAACAAACACATGGCTAGATTTCACAAGCTGGTTGGAAGAGATGTCTGACACATTCACAGTAAGTCAAGCAAACAGATCATTAAACTGAGTCACACTCAAATGATTTAACCCTGATGTTCTTGCTCTCTCTGAAACATGGCTTAAGAAAGGTGTTTCGGATGGGCCTGGTCTTATTTCAAAAACACCTTTGGCCTAATCATTGAGAAACACACACAATTAAAACGATTCCGCTCATATTATTACTTCCCCTATTACAAGCCTGTTAAACCTGTCATTTCATTTGTCTGTTTTCCCTTGACTGGAAATCGGCAATGATTCTCCCCCTCTTTAATGGAGGCTCTGACCCGAACTGCTTCAGGCCAATTTCCATCTTCCCTGTCTGGCAAAAGTTATAGAGAAACTCGTGCATAAACAACTAACTCACTTAATTTACTCAAATCATATCTTGTCTGACCTGCAATCGGGGTTTAGGAAAGGCCACGGATGTACCACCGCTACACTGAAGGTCCTTGATGACATCATCCCCGCCATTGACAACAAACAGACCTGTATAGCTGCCTTTAAAGACCGAGCAAAGGCTTTTGTCTCAGTCAACCATAACATTCACCTGCAAAGACTTACCAGCATTGGCTTGTCCAGCGGATGTTGTAACTGGTTTTCTAGCGACCTGGCTAGTCGTGTCCAGCGAGTTAAGACGGAAAACATCATGTCTGAACCTCTGAACATTTCAAAAGGTGTGCCTCAAGGCTTCATTTCAGGCCCTATTCTGTTCTCTATTTATATTAATTAATGTTAATTAATTAATTAATTAATATTAATGATGTAGCCAAAGCTTCTGGAAATTCATCTGTATGCTGATGACACCATCATATATTCAGCTGGTCCTTCACTCCACTCTGCTGTGTCCATTCTTCAACAAAGCCTCACTTCCATCCAACAGTCTTTCCACAACCTCCTGGTCGTCAACTCCAAAAAGACCAAATGTATGCTGTTTGACCAGAAAAACATCATCATCCGCAGCCCTCCCAAGATCTACAGTGCTGATGGATCGGAGTTTGGATCGGATCGGAGATTGTCAGCTCCTACAAATACCTTTGCTTCTGGTTGGACTCATCTCTCTCATGTAATATACAAATCAAAATCCCTCTGGCTAAAGTCAAAGCCAGACCGGGTTTTCTGTATCGAAACAAGGCCTCCTACACACACACACACACTGGCAAATTCACCCTTGTGAAAATGACCATCCTTCCTCTGTTCGACTACGGCAATGTAATTTATAAAATGGCATCAAAGACCACCCTCAGAAAACTGGACACACTCCACCACTCAGCAATCCGATTTGTCAAAAGTGCACCCTTCACCACCCACCACTGTGGGAATGACCCCCGCTACCTCTCAAATCTTCTGCACATTTCCGGCAGCAATCGCCATTTAAGATCCAGTGACTTCATTCAACTCATCATTCCAAAAGTCTCTGTACTCTGTTTGGTTATAACTCCTTTCATTTTGCCGCTGCAAATGATTGGAACTCAGTACAAAACCTGCTCAAACTAACAGCCCTCACCGCTCTCAACATATTCAAACATAAGCTGCAACGAGCCACAGTTGACTGCTGTACTTGCTGACCAGCCCTCACTTCTCAATGAACTTTATTTTGACCCCAACCAGTAAATAGTTCACTTATTTGATACTAGGTTACTGCATTATAGTGAGATGACGGCACATGCTGCATCAGATTTGTTTTCATAGTTACACTAATTAAATAGTCACATAGACAGTGGTACACAAAGCGCTGGTCGACCTCTGACACAAGTTTACAACATCCTAAAGTTTCAGATGTTACAAAACGAACCAATTCTAACAGTCCAAACATCACTCCCAAAGTTAATATAAACATGGTTAATTGTGGTGTATAATTTGTATGCTGTGTGTTTATAGAAAATAATAATAGTTTGTACCAAAACAAATGTGAACGCTGGTTCAATGCTTTATAGTGAAATACTGAAGAAGAAGAAGAAGAAGAAGAAGAAGAAGAAGAAGAAGAAGAAGAAGAAGAAGAAGAAGAAGAAGAAGAGTGGACAAAAGTCTAAATGTATATAACTATTAACTATTGGCTACAGTTGGACTTTCCCCTTGGTATCTTTTATTTTCAATCAGCGATTCTTTTCTCCACCTCCTGTCCATGTTGCATGGTATAAAACAATATAAAACAAATTTATTTGCACACAAATAGTTTGGGACATTCCCTGGAAGATGTCTTGTTTACCTGATCATAAAACATCATAATCACAATAATTTTCTTCTTTAATAAGTATTTGTGTTGGCATAACAAAACCCTTATAACATATTTCACCTTTTTTACACTCACTCGTCTTGATTATAAGTTTCTCCACAAACTTTGCACATTAGATAATATCTGTTGGTATGTCTGATTAAATTTACTCACATACAAAGGTCTCTACATGTGTGCAGGCATCTCCACATTTAGGGCAGCATAGCTGGCTTCCTCCCTTGCCTGATCCTCCGGATTCAGACTGTCTCTTCCCCTCACTGGTGCTCTTCTGTGTAAAACCCCCCAAAAAAACAGCATCAGCAATTTTTTTAAATTAAATTACTACTACTACATCTCCGATTTGACAGAGTAAGACATAATATTATCATGAAAGAGAGGTACAAATGAGACGTCTCCTCTAAGAGATTACCTTTCCACCATCACTTCCACTGTCCTTTGTTGACCCATCTTTAGCGGCATAGCATACAGCGGTCTCTGAAAACGACCGAACCCAGACCCTGGGATGTAAATGATTTTCCCGAGAACCCTGACGACTCAGACAAAACAACTGGATCCGGGAGCAGGACAATCCTGAAAAACAGAAACATTTGCTTAATTTTTTAAGGGTTACATTTTATTTACATATTCAGCTTTATTGAATGACAATGATCATGGTATTTAAAACAATATGTTTATCTATACAAAACATATTGCCCTAACTGCCGCTATGTGTGTCATGTAAATCCAATTTAAAGCAGTCGTTGATTCAAATGCATTTTCAAGTGAATAGAATATACATGTTCACGTATTTCAATAATCCTATGCATATTTCCATCATCATGAAAAATAAAATAGTAAACCAAACATATTTGTGACAAACTTATGGCCTTTTCCCCCTAATTCTATTCTCCTTGATCAGATCACAACACATCAGATAAGTAAACATCTTCAGATAAGTAAATATAATCAACATGGTGGCCGGACTATCGCCGATATCAGTTAAAAACACTGCATATTATCAACAGTTCGTGCTCTGGGGCAATGAGTCCATACTAGTTACGTGTGCTGTGTTGTACATTTTTCATTATGCAAGTGTGAAGGGCTGACGTAACAAGTATGCTATTGCTAACTAAAGGCTGGCGCATGCTTCTGCATCGTTGCGTCGACGCACTCGTTTCAATTCATGGTTCTAAAAGTCCTGCGTGTGTTGCAGAGCAATTCACCGCCAGAACAACAGGTGGAGTAACGTGTTTTGTTGAAGATGACCTAGAGAGTCACGTCTTTGTGTGTGGAAGTTGTTGATTTGTTTATTTATTTATCATAGACTTTATTGCCCCGTGCATCGACACTGCTGCTTTTCATCGCGGACACATTTGTCCCGTATTTTCCTCCACAACTTTGTTCCTCTCGACCGGCAAACCGGCGATCTTCCTCCGTGAATCCAACCCGCTTCTACAACCCGCCAATAACGGCTTGTATAAGCGGTCATATTTACGTATTTCTTCCGACAAAAGTTATTAAATCTGATCCGTTCTCTCGTAAACATTCTTCGTTTTAATAATGGCGGTATCGGGCTATGAAAGTGGAAATGTGAGACTCCGTAAAGGATGTAGTTAGCGGACCAATCGCAGCCTGGTGCGCTGCGGGAGGCTTGCGTCGCTTGCGGGAAAAGGCACGCAAGGGGGTCTTGCGTCTGCGTCGCTCTGAAAACGCAGAAGCATAAACTAGGCTTTAGCTTCACAAATGTCATACAGATATTAGCTTGTGGTGAGGTGTCGTTCGTAAACGATTCATTCATTTTGAACAAATCCTTACAAGGTCTTGAGAGTAACGAGTCCTCTCAAAGAAAGATTCGTTAATTTTCTCGTGGCCACGCATCGGGACCAAGGTTATTATCGTTAACGAAAACTAACGAAAAAACAAAAACGAAAAAAAAAATCACACCTCGTTAACTGAAGTAAAAATAAAAACGAGCCTTTAGAAAAAAAACGATAACTAACTGAAACTGTATTGTGTCTTTACAAAACTAACTAAAATTAAATAAATTATAGAGAAAATGTCTTTAGTTTTTGTCTTTGTCAATGCTATAGAACAGCGGTTCCCAAACTCAAGAATGCCACGGCCCAATTTGAAATCTGAAAATCTTTCGCGGCCCACCCAAACCTTTAATCACAACTCTGATCAAAACGTAATGATTAAATGACCTTAAGAATTTAACCAAAATCAAACATCCGCAAGCAAAAGTCTGTCTCGCGTGAGCAAAATTTGTCTCCGCGGGGTATTTGTTTCTCCGACGCACCCTGAAACAAGCTCCATATCTCCCGCTCTTGAGCGCCGCTCAGCGTATCGCCGTCGTAGACCGAGCTTTGCCATGTTTGGCAGAGCGCCTTGTACAACTAGTATGGATCAACCGATTAACCAATTGATCCATATATAAGGCTCCGGATTATAAGGCACTGTCGTTTTTTGAGAAAATGAAAGCCTTTTAAGTGCGCCTTGGAGTGCGGAAAATGCAGTATATTGACTTCAATACTACAAGAGGGCGCTCCATTTGTCGAACAACGACAGGAGGACAAGAGCAGCCGTTTCGAGCTAGAGCCTTATTGTTTTATTAATCTGTCCGTTTAAATTGTTTGTGCTTCATCAACTAATGTTTCACATACCTAATGTGCCGCATCATAAACATTTTTATATTAATTTCGAACTTTTAAAAATTGAAAATTAAAAAACTTTATTTATTAATTGTAAGTGACCTCTCGCGGCCCACCTGCAGTACCTTCGCGGCCCACCAGGGCGCTGCTCTAGAGTTTTTATTGGGTTTTAGATTTTTTTCAGATTGAGCTCTCTGAGACTCCCGGCTCCCAAGCAATGTCATGTGTGGTTCATTAATTTTGTTTAGTACATGCTGTTCAGGTGTGTCTTTAGTCGATTGGCTATGGCATCTTGTGTAGACTGTTTACATATTTGTACCCATATCTACATTTTATGTTCTGTTGTTGATATTGTTGTGTGGAATGTTTCTGGTTAATGACACAAACACACTGACTGACACATATTTCATAGTTGTCTTTTGGGGATGACTGTTCATCTGTCCTAAATACATTTTTCAAAATGGTATGTTTTGTTATTATTATTATAGCTTGTATCTACAATTCATTTTGAGCATTTTGTTTTGCAAGCAAAAATGAAGCTTCCCTGACTGTATATACGAATAAACGATGAACGAATCATTGATCTACTCGCTACCAGTGCTGAGCCTATGCAGGTCACGTGAAAAATGAACGATGAACAAATCATTGACCCGAAGACACGGTCGGGAGGTGAACAATTCGTTCATCTGCCGGATACAGATCTTTAGATCATTTTTCACGTGACATGCATGGGCTCAGCACTGGTAGAGAAAACCGAAATGATTCGTTCATTTTGACTGGGTCTTCGGATACGGATCTTTTTTCACGTCACCTGCGCTCAGAGGGGGAAACAGAAAGGATTTGTTTACCTTGTTCACTTTCGCGTGGCTAGGTTTAGTAAGACATGAATGATATTATTGATTATTGATATTTTACATTTTTTGTACTTTACTGAAGAGTTCAGCGTAATAGTTATGCCGTGATAATTGAATGCTAGTGTGAAAATAAATGATCACTTCAAATCATCCAGACTGTCGTGATACAGGAAATGAACGTATGACTCAAAAAAAAATTCGTTCATTTTACTGAACGAGATTCAAAGAACCGAGTCGGTAAAATGATCCGACCTTCCCATTACTATTAGCTTGCTTGTACAATATGTACTTTCCCTTCCTTACCTCTGTGGGCAGTGTTTAGGAACAACCTTGCAGCCGACGTGCACGGACAGGACATAACTATGTCCTTGGCTCAATACCCTGAAAATAAAAATAAAGTTAACACCGTGAACTGGGGGGGAAAGATGTAGGCCGCTCAACTAGCCGGCGGATTGAAAAAATAGCAGATGCAAACAGGAGAGGCCATTTAGCCAAAAAATATGTCACCGCTTTAACAACCCCGTTAGCATTAGCAGGTCATTTACTGACGAAGGTGGCAACGCCAGTGCTGCTTGCGACTGTGGCAATCAATCTTCTCTAAATTAGTCATTAAATGTAGGAATCTGTTTGGCTGACAAGGCTATTGCTACCTGCGATCTAACGGCAGTAATACAGCGCAAAATAAACAACGTATTAGCTGGTTTGGTCTAGTCGAGAAGTAACTGCTGAATACATAGTTAGGCCCGAGCCAGAACTACCTGACGGTTCTTCCGGAAATGGCAGACATACAGGCAATGTTGCGCAGTGATTATTATGAGTGGTGTTGCTCGGAAACAAGCACGTCAGGCACGACGGCTAACGCGACGACACACATGCCTAGCTTAATTCTAACAGAAACGTTACAATATGTCTACAAACCGTTAATATGGGGCTGTTTTACTCACAGGGCGCGATGAAACACAGTCCTTTGGAAAAGAAATATTAATTTGCAAAGTCACCGTTTAACGTTATTGTTTGAACAGGTCAGTGTGCCGTAGAAATGTCACAGTGCAATCAATAATACGCGTTGCCTTCTCTAGGACCAATATTTCCCAGGTGGGATACGACCCAAAGTGATGTAACGCTGTTATGTACTAGGTCGATTTCAGAGTTAACCGCTAGCAAGCCTCCTATCTGGGTACAGTAGCTGACATACGTGGTTTAACCGGTGTAAGCAATATGGAGGCTTCGTTTTGTTCATCACAACTCACACCCATCCCGATCTTTTGAGATCTAGCAACACACCCACAGGAGGAGTTAACAGAAGTGGCTGCTGGTGCGTTCAATGGTCCTCGTTATGTACCGTTTAGGTTACGTTTGGGTGAACCTCGTAAATATGTAAAGCCGTCCCGAAGCGAAAGATTCACAACTGGAGTTCGACCAACGAAGTAAAGATAAAGCTACAATGCTGTACTTTCTGCACAGATAGGCAGTAGGGGCGAGTGGTCGGTGGAAGGTTCCTTTGTCCGGACGGCAGGTTCCGGTCGTCGGTGGTAGATTCTTCCTGTATGTGGCCTGTAAATAAGTGGGCCAAAACATTGTAAGTTACTGTGTAACACCCTCAAAGACTGCACGTTGTATTTTTTTGATCCACATTTATTTATTCGTGAAGGTCACTGCAAAACAAGAAAACACACTCGTCAGGACAACAGGGCCAACCGTAGGTTTTTCTCCTGCTGAGAACTGGCTTAATCCCTTATTTTATCGGTCGGTAAAACAATACCCTCTGTGGTCACGTGACCGAACGCCGAGGGACATAGTATAAGCTAACGTTAATCACACTCGAACACAAGCTGGTTAGCTAACTTACAGATAACCTTTTTTTAATTTTTTAAAATTGTAAACCCATTGTCGCATCAAAGCACACATTCTACGACACATAACATGTTGTTTTAGGTTCATACACACATCTAATTACTACTGACACCAGCTCACCTGCAAAACATGAAAACACACTCGTCAGGACAACAGCGCCAACCGTAGCTTTTTCTCCTGCTGAGAACTGGCTTAATCCAGTTCCGGGCGCTGTCTTAGATAGAGCCGCCACCACCACTCGTAGCGCGCTGTTGTCGCCTAGTGGTAAAACTGGTGTACTGATCGTGAACGCTTCTCAACACGTTCTTCCCTTTCAGTCAATAATCTTGCGCTGAGGCCGCAACACTCTCCCCCTCAAATTAAAATGTTCACAACATTTTGTTATTTTATGAATAATACCTCATAAACACGTTTCCCTTTTTAAATGGAGGTGATGTCATCACTGCTTTTATGCCACCCTCAAAGGCAGCCAGGCCCAAATGATCATCATTTACAAAATATTCTATTGTTTCCATCTATCGTTCTCCCGTTTCCGGCACATCAAAATGCTCTGCCTGTAAGATTCCAACTGTTTCCTTTAGGGCACCCAGGCACTTAGTGGACTATACATTGAACCACACATGGAACATCTGCCTATTGAGAGATGAGAAAGTTAGAGAAAGAAAAGGAAAGATAGCGACACATTTAGAAAACAAAGGGAGAGAAACGGACGACTGTGCCGGAGAAAGTTGAGGACAAGTTGATTGAGACAGCAAAGGGAGAGAAACGGACAACTGCGCCGGAGAAAGTTGAGGAAAAGGCGAGTGAGACAGAGAAAGGGAGAGAAACATAAGGAACAAATGTCGCTCTCCAAAAAAAGAAAAGTTGACAGCGAAAATAGAGCATTTAATCCGGAATGGACAGACTCATTTCTGTTCATACTTCCCACAGGGAGCACAAAACCAGTGTGTCTTATATGTTCAGAAACCGTGGCACTTATTAAAAGTGGCAATGTGAAACGCCATTATGAGACAAAACATAAAGGTTTTGAACAAACATACCCACTCAAATCCGAAGTGAGATCACAGAAAATAAGTGGCCTCACAGCCCAATATGAACAGTCAACCAGGATCCTGAGCCACACGTTCACTGCCCAACAACGTGCTCATGAGTGTTCCCTCAGAGTTGCTTGGATTTTGGGGCAACACAAAAAGCCATTTACTGATGGAGGGCTTGTCAGAGAATGCATGAGTGTCGTCGCTGAAACATTACTTGACGGAAAACCAAAACAAGAGCTTTGTGATAAGATAAAGCAAATACCCATGTCAGCATCATCTGCCACAAAGAAAGGTGAAATATTAACTCATGATGTGCTAACCCAGCTAAATGAAGCCATACATAAGGCACCATGTGTAGGCTTAGCTGTGGATGAGTCCACTGACATCTGTGACAATGCTCAGCTGTTAGTGTATGTCAGGTTTTTCAACACAGACCAGAAAGCATTCTGTGAAGACCTGCTAGGTGTCACTCCCCTTCAAACCAGTACAAGAGGAGAAGATATCTACCTGGCCATTAAGGAGATGTTAACGAAGAGAGGAATAGAGCCAACACAAGTGGTTTCAAAATAGCCACAGATGGAGCCCCTGCTATGATAGGGAGAGAAAAAGGAGCTGTAGCAAGACTGAAAGAGGACAATCCAGAGCTCATAGCTTAGCATTGCATCATTCACCAATCTGTCCTCTGTGCCTTCCTGTCAGATGAGCATGCTGAAGTGATGAATACAATGATGAAAATGATCAATTTTCTCAGGGCATCCTCTTCCACCCAGCATCGCATGCTGAGGGAATTCCTCAGAGAAGTTGATGCCAATGCTGATGATCTTTTGCTGCACAATAATGTGAGACGGCTCAGCAAAGGGAAGGTCTTAGCGCGCTTTTGGTCCATCAGTAGGGAAGTAGCATCTTTTTTGGCAGAGCTAAGACATCGGAAGGCAACGCAGTTTTCTCTCTTTTTAGGAAATGAGAAACAGATGGATAATGTGGCCTTTTTGGTTGATATTACTGCACATCTGAATGAACTGAATTTGAGGCTACAGGGCAAGGACAATTCAATTTGTGAACTGATGACCGCTGTCCGCTCCTTTCAAAAGAAACTTGAGTTGTTCAAGGAAGACCTGCAGGGAGACTGTGCACACCTCCCAGCAGTGCAGGAACAGGTACAGGGACAGAGAGATGTGTCTTCTTTTGTTGACTTCATCGATAAGGTGATCGTAAACTTCAGCAACCGTTTTGACAGCTTCAGCTTTGGACAGCAGCTCACCATGTTCATTCAGAACCCATTTATCATCACGGATGTCAGGGGGTTCTCAGAGGAAGTCACACAGCACTTTAAATGGGTAAATCCTGGGCCTCTCCGGATGCAACTGGTTGATCTCCAAGCAGATGTGTCCCTGAGAGAGCAGTTTCTAAGAACTGACCCTTCCACTTTCTGGCTCCAAACGGTCCCTGAGACAGCTTTTCCAGGTCTGAGGAAAGTTGCCATATACATCTTGACCATGTTTGGCTCCACCTACAACTGCAAGGCAGCTTTCTCCACGATGAATATCATCAAAAATAAATATCGTTCGAGGCTCACCAATGAGCACCTCCACATGTGCATGCGGATGGCCCTGACTCCATTCAAGCCCAGGTTTAAAGTCCTGGCAGCACAAGCTAGAGCTCAATTCTCCCACTGACCAACAAAGTGGGGAAGTGGGATGCAAGACTAATGCTCTAAAACTGTTAAATTGTTAAGATGTGTTAAGATTTATTATCTGTAAAATCGTTTGGGACTGAAACAGAAACGGGGACATTTAAGCTTTTCCTCCCTTTATTTATTTTTTTCTGAAGTTAAGCACTTTATTTGATTATTATTATTTATTATTACATGCACCATTTTCATTTTGTATTTATTTTATTTTAAAAATGCAGCCCTACTTTTATTTAGTTCATGAGAGAGCATTATACATATCTGCAGTCACACATAAGTCCAGTTCTATGTTACATGATAATAAATATTGTTAAAAAGTGTTTTAATCGTACCGAATTCCTTTGATTTGAAAGGTATTGATTATATGCAGATGTTTATACAACTACCAGGCTACTTAAATATATATCACACTAAATAGTTAGACATTATGATCTTCTGGACCTTTGCTTCAAGAAAATTTCTCTAACTGGACCTCTTAACATTTTAGTTGAATACCCCTGCTCTACAACATCAGGAGAATACGTCCCCTTCTCACCCAGAAGGCAGTGCAGGTACTGATCCAGCCTCTTGTCATCTCACGCCTGGACTACTGCAACTCTCTCCTGGCACCTAGGTCTCCCTGCTACCACCATTCAACCTCTGCAGCTCATCCAGAATGCAGCAGCTCGACTGCCGAAATTCTCCCAAACTACTCCACTCCTCCGCTCTCTTCACTGGCTACCGGTGGCTGCCCGCATCCAGTTCAAAACATTGGTGCTCACGTACCATGTTGTGAATGGATCGGTTCCAGCTTACATCCAGGACATGTTCAAACCCGACTCTTAATTTTAATTTATTTGGTCCTGCAGAAGACGATAAAACACAGACATTGCCTTCTGGTCTCTGTCTGCACATCAGCTCCCTACACACAGTATCTTCAACAGAGCAACGCTTCTGTAAAGGAAAAACGGGCACTGCGCAAAATCTAAATTATAACTTGTCAAAAATCTGAGTCATGACAAAAAGGGGAAAACAACAACCCCAGGTGAACAAAATAAATAACTGAGTGACAACTGCAAAAATTTCAACATTAAAACAAAATAAAACACATACCTGCAGAAGATAATAAAACACAGACATTGCCTTCTGGTCTCCGCACATCAGCTCCCTACACACAGGGTCTATAAAGGGTTACGTACGCTTCTGTGAAGGAAAAACGGGACTACGGAAGCCTAGGAGGCGCAGAAGAGATGAATCGCAATTTTCATCAAAAGAAAATTCACACACACACTTGACAGGATTGTTGATTATGAACCAAAAATCAGATGCGATTCATTGAAAAATGACAAAGTGTATTTCTAACTCCGTTACATTCACCCCCACTGAATGTTATTATAGATGAGCACTCATTACCGATTGCACGGCAAAGAAAACATTACAAATTGACAACTTACAACGGGCCAATATCAAGAAAACCAACAAAAAAATGTATCCCATAAGAATTAAGTGGTACGAGAGCAGCGCAGGCCTCTCAACCCAACAAGTGGCAACAGGATGCCTTGTACACCCCACAGCACCCAAACACAAAGTGCAGTACAGGCTCATAACAAAAAACAAAAAGGACAGTGAGACATTATACCAATACAACATTTCCAGCCATAAAGGCATAAGCCACCCGCTCATAGTATTAAAAAGTAACAACATAGGACCCGGAGTTACAACAGCCTCAACCTTGAGCCATTCCTCGACAATATCCTGCCTAGACATAGTCTGTATAAGCCTATTCACAGGATTGATTAAGCAACCAAATCTTGACCTGACCTGCGCATTAAAACGGCCAACGTGTGCGGGTGAGACCTGGACCACAGTATGCAAAGAGTCAGACGTGTTATCTGTCTGTGTCATGGTATCAAGTGCAAAGTCTGACTCACATCTTTCGAGACCCCCGCAGCAGTCAAAGGGCAAGAATCACAAGTCACAGATTGATCAGTGGTGCTGTCCTCAAGTGAGGTAGCTGCGTTCTGGGGATCAGAAGCAACACTTATCATGTCAACAGTGCCCGCCTCAGCCAGGCTTGGGCCAGACAACTGAGTAATCCATTCAATGGTCTTGCTTTCCGAATCCACAGGCACCGCATCGGTCAAGGGACCCTGTCCATCTCTCACAGTCATAGGGAATTCACTGTCACCTTGAGTGTCAAAGCTTTACGCCACACTACAAGACTCCCCCTCGCTCCCAGACGAGGTCTCTTCTGCCTCGCCACCATCATGTCCTGAAACAGAGGACCCTGTACCAAGCAAGGATGAGACCAGATCAGATATGTCACATGTATCCCCCACAGGAAGAAAATTAACCAGCATCAGCAAGTTCCTGTGGACCACCTTCTCCCGTCCAGTGATTGTGTCGCGGATCCTGTATGTGTGTGTCTCTGTATTCACATCTACCACAGTGTAGACTTTCGAGTCCCGCCTGTCAGCAAGCTTCTTTTTACCCCTTCCCTTCCTGTTGGCCAAGAGCACCCTGTCACCGATCTTTAAATTGGACCCCTTTACTTTCCTTATACAGCTTGGCATGTCAATTCTGCTCTTTTGTAGCATGGACCTGAACAATAACTATTGCTCCCTTCAGATCGTTGGCGAGACTGGCCACATACTTCTCATAGCTCACCACAGCAGAGTCATGAAGAACAGCACGAAAGAGGACATCAATAGGTAGGCGGGGGATCCGACCAAACATGAGGTAGAATGGGGAGTAACCTGTCGTCTCATGTTCCGTACAGTTGTACATCAACGTCAAGGTCTGTAAGCGCCGTGGCCAGTCAGCTTTCTCTTCCGGGGGCAGTGCTCAAATCATACCAGGGTTCAGTTGAAACGTTCAACACTCCCATTCTCCATTGGGTGATAGGGGGTTGTGTGCGATTTCTTGACACCTGAGATCCTGAGAAGCTCACCAATAAGCAGACTCTCAAAGTCAGCACCTTGATCACTATGGATCCTTTATGGGAATCCAAAGACACAGAAATATCGGTTCCATAGAACCCTAGCCACCTGTTTAGCTCTCTGGTCTTTACATGAAAATGCCTGATCCATTCTCGTAAAATGGTCAGTCATCACTAGAACATCTACAGACCTGTTTCTGGAGTCTTTAGCCGACCAAATGTTAATGTGGACCAACTCCAGCGGCCGGGTTGTCATTATACAACAGGGGGACCCGTCCTTCAGGCTCGACTGTCTTACGGCTTACTGGCTCACGATGCATAGCTGACAATGGAGAACATAGTCTCTTTCATCTCTGTCGAGGTTTGGCCAGAAAAACCTTTGTCTCGCCAAGCTCAGACCCCTGGACTGAGCTTGATGTCCAGCCCTATCGTGAATCCCTTGCAGAACCTCAGTCTTCAGTGAGTCTGGGACAATGTATTGAAAAGGCTTTGCTTTGGTCTTCGGATCTCTTGAAATCCTGTGCAGTACACCATCCTTCACAGTCAGCCTATCCCAGTGCTTCAAGTACCTTGTGACCAGACTCATTGAATATTTCCCTTCTAGAAGGCCTCCAATGTCTCTCAACATAGGACAGAACAGAAGAGATGGTCCTGTCTCCGAAAAGCATATCACAGAGGTCCTTCACAGTGTAAGTAGGTAAGGCGTCTTGTCCAGGAGGAAACAACTGAGGTAAGTGCTGCAACACCTCAACAGCACGGACCCTCGGACCATCCTCCCATCCAGCGTGTGACTGTAATACAGCGGACATGTCTTCCTTTTGTGGTGGAAGATTTTGCACAGACAATCGTTAAGTAAGAATCAAAGGCTCTGAGTCAAGTATGTCTTTTCTCCGTTTATTTCCTTGCAAGGGAAAAAGGGTCACAACAGCTACGTGGTCAGTAGACTGTCAAGAACCTCCTTTTCTTCCCAACACATCGAGGCAGTTCTTATACCTAAATTTAGATATCGGTGGCGTCAACAGAAACCGTTAACCATCTTGTTGAGTATCTACAGCCAGGGTACTGGGAACATCTTATCCATGTAAGACACGTCAGCTCTTTGACCGTATCCTTGCTCTCCCAACATGCTAAAACAAAGGTGGTCATAGACATAACAAACACTTTGTTCAATCTCTACAGCTATGACGCTGGAAACATCTAATCCAAGTGGGAGACATCAGTTCTTATGTCAGGGCCTTTGTGACCTAAGCACTTGCAACTAATAAACTGGTTATACAAATTAAAAGGGTCACATATCATTTTCCCATTACACTTTGCAACAGACTGAATGTGCATGAGCTGTGGGCTGCATGCAGACTGGGCATTGTTGCTCAAAGGGGAGGGCTCCCTGTTATGACCGGATGACCGCAAAGCATTTTGGACAGAGAAACTTGACATGTCTTTGACTTCTGTGAGGAGGCCCTCATAAGGTTCAGCGAGCAGCCTGTGACCAACACTCGCCTTGACAAACGGCACACGACTCAGGGCATCAGCTACAATGTTCCGTGGCTCCGGAACGTACTTGATATCAAAGTCGTAACTTGCCAACTTGGCAACCCAGCAAAGTAACCGAGCATTAAGTGTTGATACTAATTTACCATCCCTAAGAAAGACCGTATGCGCTTTTGGGACGGAGTCACACCATCAGACTCCATAAGGTCAGTGCTCACCATGTTTGTGATGCTCTCAACCTTGCTGAGGTCTGTTGAAACACCATTCGCATCAACAATGTGGCCAAGAAACCTTACAGACCTCCTGAGGAAGAAGCACTTTTTAGGGGATAACTTCAAGTTGTGTCTACGCAGCCTCTTAAACACCATCTCCAGGCACAGCAAGGCAGTCTCCTCATCAGGTGCAAACACTAGCAAGTCATCCAAATAGTTTTGGTCACTGAAAATGCTCGTCATCATGCGCATAAAGCACCCGGGACTGTTGCAGAGGCCCTGCGGAAGACGGTTGTACTCATACAGACCCATGGGGGTAGTGAAGGCAGAGTACTTCCTGTCGTCCTCATGGAGACGGGTGCAGAGAGGGTGATCGGCTGCAATCTGCCATCCCTGCAGGACTTGTTCGCTTCCAGGTCTCTGAAGCGAGTTAAAAAGATCGTAGCCGACCCCTCTCACCCTGGACAAAAACTGTTTGTGCCCCTTCCATCTGGCAGGAGGCTGAGGTCCATCAGGACTAAGACCTCCCGCCACACAGTTTCTTCCCGTCGGCAGTCGGGCTCATCAACAGAGCCCGGCCCCCCACTGACTGACTATAACATTCCACCGGTCACTCCCCTTCACACTGCACATGTCACTTTAACTGTAATTCATCACTTTGTCGTCACTCGTCACTTTGTTACTTGTTCGTTAGTGCACTTTATGCTTAATATTTCTTTTTTAACTTTTTTAATATTTAAAATTTTTAACTTTATTCCCTTGTTTTATACTAACCCATAGCCTTATTTACTAACCCATTGCATTAGCATTTCATTTTACTTTATTTTATTACTTGTGCACTGCTGTCTTGTCTATTGTCACATTGTCTACTGTCGCGCACCAACCGCCAAGACAAATTCCTTGTATGTTTGGCATATTATGGTAATAAATGTTTCCTCCTGATCCTGAGTGGCATGTTGTAAAACCCGCTGGTCAGATCCATTGTGCTGAAAAGGCAGTTCTCCCCCAGCTCTGCCAAACAATCTGCCTGGTGGGGCACACTCATAAAACCAGCTGTGTTGAAGATGGCGAATATCATGATGGGAAAAGCGGCTGAAGTTCAGTTATACCAAATTCCTCTTTCAAATGACACCATTAGCGACAGAATAGAGGACATGAGCAAAGACATCTTGGCTCAAGTAGTTGCAGATCTGATTTCAAGCCCGGCAAAATTCAGCCTTCAACTGGACGAGACCACAGACGTTTCCAATCTAAGCCAGCTTGCTGTATTTGTGCGCTATGTGAAAGACAACGTGATAAAGGAAGATTTTTTATTTTGTAAGCCTCTTACGACAACAACTAAGGCAGCCGATGTGAAGAAACTTGTGGATGACTTCTTCAAAGACAACCATCTTTCGTGGGATATGGTTTCTGCAGTTTGTTCGGACGGAGCTCCAGTCATGCTGGGAAGAAAGTCTGGTTTTGGTGCGCTAGTGAAAGTCGATGCACCACACATCATTGTTACTCATTGTATTCTGCACAGGCATGCGTTGGCAACAAAAACCTTGCCTCCAAAACTGGCAGAAGTATTAAAAATTGTTTTAATGGTTTTGTTCTTTGAACACTGATGTTGATGCACGGTTCATTTTGTGCACCAGTAAAATATATACCTATGTTTTGAATTGTATTTTTCCAATTAAGAAGGGTTCGGTGAATGCGCATATGAAACTGGTGGGGGTCAGTACCTCCAACAAGGTTAAGAACCACTGGCTTAAATCAATGAATGCTTCAATTTATCGGGTCATTTCAGTCGCGCCGGCATCACTCTATTTCAGCTGTCCGGCATTTCTTCATTTTTGTGTGACCAAATGGACACTTAAAATACTTTGGAATAATATCCAGACGTGACAACGCCACTCTCTTTGGAGGGGAGAGACCCTGAATTCAATTATCTTACTGGCCCAAAACCCCATACAAGGTAGATCATAGTCAGGCAGAGGCTTCTGCGTGTACAGTGCAATATCACTTTTATTTAAACAATAACTTTATAAAACCACATCCAAATAATTTATACCAGTAGTGATTGACCGGGGGCAACAATGACACTTCCAACAATAAAAACACTGCACACTGTTAAGAAAGGCTAAAATAGCCAACACTACAAACCAACACACACAAATACGATTAATGATCCTGGTTAAAAGACAACACAATAAAAAGTGGGAAAGGGGGAAGCAACGGTCATCAAAAAAAGGCACAATATCAGTTTGTTATTTCTATAGAGAGAGCAAGATGGAGGCACTAGAGCATAATCTAAACTAAAACTATGGTCAGAGAAAAAGAGCAGTGGCTGCCCTGCTGACCACTCCGTGTCAGCCTGCAATGTACAAAACAGCCATTAATCACCGAGTACCCATCATCCTTCTCATTACGCATTAAAACGCATAATGTGCTTGCAAGCCCAACTTCCTACCTCCTAGGCCCAATGCACCTGTGCACCAGCAGGTAGGACCCTGGGCTCACCAGGTCTGGTTAAGGTCTGACCTTCTACCATAGGAAAGAACATTATATTCATTTCCCCATGGCCTACAGGATGTAGATTAAAATTGCACAACCTACCTCCTTAGTATAGTTTGCTCACCCACACGGTACTGGCGAGCAACAAACAGCAACCCAGACTTCAGCACATGCCGGACAACGAGAACAAACGTGAGTTGCTCAACTCTCACGGGATCTCCTTTATATAGAGAGGCTCTCCTTGAGTTAAAGCCTCCCGCTCTATACTGAGGCTCCCAGGTCCTAAGGTCCCACCCTTCACATACACCCCCACTTTAAAAGGTTGCCGTCCCGGTAACATAACTTGCCCTGGCTACAGGGGCATTAGTTCCATGGCCTGAATGTCACATGCTAGGTGGGTACTGACGGAGGTGGGGTTGGTTGGGCCCAGGGCCGGGGTAGGTTAAATGGGTTAGAGTGTTGACCGGCAGTGTTTCTGTGTGAGCGTCTCACAACTACCGGCTCTGGCTCCAGTGACTGGAGGGCTGTCTCTGGCCTTTCCGGAGATTGTGGGCCATTCTCTGGAAGTCCTGGGGGCTCTTGAATGGGCACTGCACCAGTGACTAGGGGAGGAGCGTCTGAGTCTGGTTCCCTTTCTGTCATCGGGTGTGTCTCCATTTGCCCTGAATTCCGTCGGTTTTGAGAGGGGACATTTGGGAGGACTACGAAGCCTGGCGAAAAACTGTCGTTACTGTCCTCCTCCTCAATTCGTCGGAATGTCGTCCCATTGGCTGGGTGGGGGGGGCAATGTCAGTGGTTCTGACACCAGGGCTCCTTTTTCAGTGATTGGCCTTATTTGCGAGCAGTGGACATTCTTCCGCTGCTCTGGTTTGTTGCGAGGCTGTATCTTGTATACCGCACCCACGTCATCAAGACATTCCACCACTTGGTAAACTGATGATTCCCACACGTCCTGGATTTTCCTTCGTCCTGGTCCATGGTTCTTACGATAGACCAGGGTGCCGACTGGAAGGATGGAAGTGATTGTTGGGGGTTGACGCCACTCCTTAGCTTCAGCAGCTGCACCCAGCTGTTTCCTGGCATTCACATACACCGAGGCCAGGTGATCTTGGTGTTCTTTCACCCAATCATCTGGTGTAGTAGAGGCCGTCTCTTCGTCGGCTCGTCCCAGCAATAAGTCAACAGGCAGCTGGGGTTTCTGACCGAACATCAGTTTGTATGGTGAATGGCCAGTAGACTGGTGGACTGTGGTGTTGTAGGCAAACAGTAGCTGGGGGAGCATTTGAGGCCACTTTCGCTTCTTGTCACCTGGGAGGGAGCGCAGCAGGTCATGAAATGTTCAGTTAAACCTCTCACATTGTCCCTCAGGGTGGTAGGGGGTCGTCCTAGTTTTTGCTACGCCATACAGCTGGCAGAGGCGTTTGAGTAATTCTCCTTCAAAGCTCCGGCCTTGGTCAGAATGGACCTGTTTAGGGACCCCGTAGGTGTAGAACCATTTTTCAGTCAGGATTTTAACTACTGTGTGGGCCTTTTGATCGGATGTTGGATATGCTTGAGTGAATTTAGAGACGTCGGTCACGACCAAGATGTGTTCTCTTCCATCACTAGCTCTCTCCAATGTGGTAAAGTCAATGGCCAGTACTTCTAATGGTTTGGAGGCCGTTAGGTGCCCCATAAAGGTTCTGACTGATGGCCGTACCGCTTTGGCAATGACACACACCACTGGGTGATGTCCAAGCGCATGTTGGGCCAGTAACACCTTTCCCGGACAAGGGCTGTTGGTGGTCATGGTTGTCATGTGGACTGGTCAGTACTTCCGTCTGTAGTGCTTTTGGTAATAGCAGCTGGTGCACTGTATTTCGGCCTGGGGGCATCTGTACTTCCCGATACAGCACACAGTCCTTCTCCCTTATTCTCCTCCACTGCCGAGCGAGCTCCAAAACCTGGTCGGATTCCCTTGACCGTTCTACTTTGTTTGGGGGATGTCCTCTCCTCCAGTAGATAAGGAACGGTTTAATCACTGGGTCAGTGGCTTGCAGTGCCTGCAGGTCAGCCCTCTCCCGCACTGGAGCTGCGTCTATGACCATGGTACTGGCAGGGAGCCATGGTCCCCCCCCCCCCCCCCCCCCCCCCGGTGCTGAATGGAGCTATTGGCCACCTGTGAGGGGACGGAAAAGCCAGGCACGACAGCAGGGAGGGACTGGGGCACTGGGGTGTTTGGTTGGCGGGAGAGGGCATCGGCATTTTGATTGGCAGTACCGGGGCGGTACTTAATGTCAAAGTGGAAACTGGCCAACTGGGATGCCCACCGTTGTTCTACAGCTGCCAATTTTGCCGTCTGGAGATAGCTCAGGGGGTTGTTATCTGTGTATACTGTGAAGGTTGTCCCTAAAAAGGTGTTCCCTGAACTTCTCTGTGACGGCCCACTTCAAGGCCAGAAATTCCAATTTCATGGAGCTGTAGTTGGACACGTTCCTCTCCGTTGGCTTTAGTCCCCGACTCACGAAAGCGATTGGCCTGCGTACGCCATCCTGTTGTTGGGAGAGTCAAGGCCCTGATGACTGGCATCGGTTTCCAGGATGAAGGGCTGCTGACTGTTGGCATAGCCCAGGACAGGGGCGGTGATTAATTTGTTCTTTAGTGCCTGGAATGCTTGTTCACAGTGTTCACTCCAATGTCCTCCCAACTTGACACAGACTCTTGACCGTGGTTTCTTGGGGCCTCCTTCCAACTCTCCGACCAGCCGGTGAAGTGGAGCAGCATGCTTAGCAAATCCCTCTACGTAACGTCTATAATATGAGCAGAAACCTACAAAG